TTTAAAAAAGGTTTTGCCCTCTGCAGCCCCCCAAACCCCTCTGCATGCTTTTTTTTTTAAAAAGGTTTTGCACTCTGCAGGCCTCCCAAACCCTCTGCATGCCTTGTTTTTTGCAAAAAAAGAGGGGGGGGGGCATACAGAGCTTTGTGAGGCTTGTAGAGTGCTCCTGGGGACTGGGGGGGGCAAAAATGGTCCTTTTTTTTTTGCTTTTCTTTGCCCTCCCCAGCCCTCAGGAGCACTTTGCAGGCCCCCCAAACCCTCTGCACGTCCATTTTTGCAAAGCGGGGGGTGGTGTGATAGGCCAAAAATGCTGTATTCAGTGTATAAGATGCACCCAGATTTTCACTCTCTTTTGAGGGAAAAAGGTGCATCTTATACTCCAAATAATACGGTGTATATATTTTCCTAGACAAAAACTATCCTTGATACTCCATATTCTGGGTGACACTCATATTCCTTATTAGCCTTTGCTGATCTACCTGTATAGGATTCCCATGAGCCTACATAAATCGCAGCCTGACAGAACTTGAGAACATCCATTTGGGAAAGGTTATTCCAGGTTCATGAAGCAATCCTATTGCCCAGCTTATGCCGTCAACAACCAGCCTATGCTAAACTGAACAGGAGGATTTATATAAAATAATAAAACGCAGGGTTGATGCCAGCCCTTAATGGAACATGTTATTAATTATAGCAGAAGAATTGGGTCTTCTAGTAGGTTGCAACTATCCTGTAGAAATTAAGTTTTGTACCTTTCCTGCATAACCTCTCATTCTGTTTATTATCTAACCCATCTATCTTTTGCAACTTTAGTCCCAGCTTCTGCGACTTCAGTCCTTTCCACTGTGTCGCCAGCAGTAACCGAAGAGGCAACATCTGTAGCCACAGTTCCTGCCACAAACATCAGTGCTGCACCTGAAGAAACAGATTTGGCGGCTGCTTCTGTGGAACCTGCAATTGTTGTATCCTCTGATGCCACTGAAGACAGTACAGGCACTGAGAGTGTGACTATTGCCATGTCTGCATCTCCCCCAAATACCACGGCATCTACCGCAGCATCTGAATCTCTACCAGACTCTGTGACTCCAGGTTCTTCATCCACAATAGCACCTGAGAATGATTCAGGCACACCAGAACCCACTGTTTTGTCCCCCGTTGCATCTACAACTATCCTTTCAGGTATTTGAAAAGACTTTTTATCACAACTAGTGTCTCTGGCAGAAGGTAGGCCTGGCAAGATGTTCCTTGTGCCTCTGAGAATAGCCTGCTGTTTTTGGCTGTGCTTTTTTTCTTCATCTGCATGTGAAGGGTAGAGTTATAGAACAAAGAAAGAATCTCAGTTGGGGCTCATTATAGGAAGTATTAGAAGCCAAGAACGGAAAACTATTTGTAGGGAAAAGTATGATGGGTGAATGATCTAAATCAGGGGTGTCAAACTCAAGACCTGCGGGCTGGATGTGGCCTGGGGGTGCTTAGATATGGCCCCTGGCTCTGTCCTGGAAACAGTGGACCAGCCTGCGGTGCTTCTGCCAGCGAAAACGGAGCTCAGGAGGGCCGTGCATGGCCCTCCCGAGCTTGTTTTCAGCAGCAACAGCCTCCTGCAACCCTCTACCAGCGAAAAGAGAGCTTGGGAGGGCCGTGTGCTCCATTTGCACTGGCAGAGCCCTCTGGGCCACCATAGGTGTTCCTGAAACAAGTGACGTTGAACTGGCCACGGCCACCCTGGTGATGCACCCCCTGGTCCCCTCTGAGAACAAACAGAACTCTGAAGCGGCCCTCAATGAAACTGAGTTTGACACCCCTGATCTAAATCAATTGGGGGAACAGTAGACCATCTGAAACTTGCCCGGATTAATTATTGTTTATGATTGATTAAAACTATAATTTTAGGGCAGTTCTAGAGGAGAGATGAGGCCCTCCACTTACTGCTCAGAATATTGCTTGCTGCTGGATAGCGTTACCAGGATTTGTGCTTCAGAAACATTTGAGGGACATGAGGTTTTCCACCCATATGCAGAAAGCATATGTAATGGAAAGAAGGAATGACCCTTGAGGATCAAGAAGAGTCACTATCAAGACAATGATCAGATAAAAGAAAACCGAGTCCAGGCCAGAATTGTAATCCAAGGAAACATCTCAACAAGATAAAGGGAGGGAGAGGAGAAGCACTTTCAGACTTCCAACATTCTGTTTCTATGAGCTTATAGTAAAAACAGTATTAGCCTGCATGACTTTGCTCTCCTAGGCTGGACTGTTTTGAAGGGCTGACATCATGCTAGTGTTCCTTTTCTTGAATGTCGGACAATTACCCTCCTCAATTTGATCCCATCTAATGCTAGGACAGTTTATTGAAACTGTAATATCTCTGAAACCATCAATTTTGTGATGAATCCAGATGTTTCATCAGAATGGAAAAAATTGTCATAAGCACCACCACTTGCATATATATCTGTGACATTATGAATACACAGACAGACAAAAGGGACAGACTTTGTCAGGACAAATATTTCATGTTTCTCCCACACCCTTATGCCTTAGCAACAATTGCCTATTCCAGTGGTTCCCAAACTTGGCAACTTTAAGACTTGTGGACTTCAACTCCCAGAATTCTCCAGCCAGCAGTCACTCCTTAGGACTAGGCCAGTGGTTCCCAAACTTGGCAACTTTAAGACTTGTGGACTTCAACTCCCAGAATTCTCCAGCCAGCAGTCACTCCTTAGGACTAGGCCAGTGGTTCCCAAACTTGGCAACTTTAAGACTTGTGGACTTCAACTCCCAGAATTCTCCAGCCAGAAGAGTTAGC